CAAAACAATTCACAAGATTCCCATCCGGGGCAGCCCGATTCTGGATCGGGACGATTCCAATCTGGGGTACGACATATCCGTTATCCGATACAAATGAATATCCATCAGATTTTTTGAACGGATCCAAGCACTAGGCAGATTAAAATGAAATCGAAATAAGTAATAATATCAAATAGACAAGCTTTTGAGGTGCATTTTTTTAGCATTTTTTTTAGGGTTAGGGTAAAATTAATAATAAACAAGTATAAGTGGGTTTTAGGGGGTCAAATAAAAATTCCTCATATTTTAATCCGATTTCATTATGATCTGCTACAATTACTGTATTAAATTTAAATGTTACAACTCTAGATTGTAACAGTAAAAAAATTGACTCTTTTTTTGTACTTTTAGATTTTGTACTCTTAAATTTTAGTCTTTACCATTTTTGGAAGCTCATAGCAAAGCCATGTCTGAAATTACGGTATTATAGATTAATAACTGAACGTTTGAATTCAGATTTAATAAATTTAATTCTAATGAATCTAGAAAATCTGAATAAAAAACAGATTTTCTGTCTTGTTTTAGGAGACGCCGTCAGCAGATCTTTTCCGGTCGATATTGACAAAAGCACAATATCCATCGGGCATTTAAAAGAACTTATTAAGAAGAAGAAGGATCCCTATTATAATAATATTTCAGCAGACGAATTTGAACTATGGAGTGTGGACATTCCTATTAACCTAGAAAATATAGACACAAAAATAAATAAAGAAAAAATTAGTGAATACAAAGGTGTGAGGTTGCTCCCAAACGCTGTTGTAGAAACAGTTTTTCCTGAAAATAATAAAAATAGTATTCGCATACTTGTACAACCACCAGCTACCACTGGTAATTATTTTGACTTTCAAACAGAGAATTTAACGATATTTACTAGTGATGTTATTAATTTATTCCTTTCCTGATTTTACTCTCACATCTAAAATGGCACATAGGGATAGCCGTACAATCCAAAGGATTATCAAGACTAGGTATGAAGATATGGTTTTTGATTTCGTATTAATTATATTTATTTGGTTTTATTTTGCATTGAATAGGAGGCCTTGGCGGGACAAATATGAAAAGAAAAGAAGATGGCCTAGGTTATGAGGGTTTAGACCTCACACATATAGACAATATATGTCAAAGAAAGCAAACTATCAACAGGTTGATTGATGATCTGTTGAAAAAGCGGATTATTCTAGTTCGATCACCCCCAATGGCCGGAAAAACATCACTTGCGCAATTATTGGAACATAACATTCTTCAATCGGATGAAGGAAAGAATGGATTAAGATGTGTTTTTCGAATTTCACTAATGTGGATGGTTAAACGCGGAATGGAATGGACTTTCGCTGAAGGATTTAAAACTCTCATGAATATGGAATGGGGTGAATTTATACAATTATGTAGACATACCGATATTGACGTAGTTTTGATTGTTGATGAAGTACAGTTGATTTATAAGCCGCAGAATGAAAGTGAGCCTCGCAATGGAGGAGGTATATTTTGGGATACATTTAAAGAAGTTAAGCAATATTTGACAAATCTTTGTATAGTAGCATTTGCATCATACGGTCATTATGGTGCTTACACTAGTTACGGAGATCATTCAGTTATGGACATTTCACCACCTTCTATTCTTCGTAAGGATGATACATGGGGTTTTTCGGATGTCCGTTTTACTGATGAAGAGTTTGACGATTACGTTTACCGATTTTGTGAAATGCGTCTTCATATGTTGAAAAAAGGAGACATTCCGTTTCTACATAATTATGTGCGTGAAATAACAGCCTACCATCCTGGTTTAATTGCTTTTACAATGGATGAAATTTACAAAAGATTTGTCAAACGGACCTCAGAGCTGGAATTCGGTGATATTTTTGCCTTTCTCAAATCCTATGAGTTTTATTCTCATCTTAAAGTAAATATACATTATAGTAAAGTGGTCGCAAAAAAGATACGGAAAATAATATACAACAAATTCCTTCCATATTATAAGAATAACTAAAACCATTTATCGGTTGGGCTAAAAGAATGCAGCAAATAGCAAAATGTTGTTAAACCTAAATCTATCATAGATAGATTAGCCATACACCAATTATTATTGCTCATTGTTCGCAAAGTTGCAATGATAACTCAAGAATGGCTAGTTCGCTTTTATAATGTGGGCTTAAATGAATGCTAACATCCATAGTATTCGTTTAAAACCAACATTATTAAAAACGGATTAGCCATTCCTGAAAAATCAGCAATATACTAACAGAATAATTACTTACCTCCACTAACTTCTGGCTCTAATTTTGATGTTCAACACTGTTTGATGACTATATTTCGAGAATGGCTGATCCATTTTCCGTAATGTTTGATTTGAACGAACCTTACAGTTATTAGCACTCGGATAAGCACAAAATCATAGAAATCGGATCAGTAGTTCGCAAGTTATAAAAGATACATCATTTTTGCGACCACTATCATTATAAATTGTTGATAAATGATAAAGTATTGTTGATGACTTACATTCTGTATACTTTTTCAGTGTATCCGTGCAACACCGCAAGTTACTGATATGTCAGATGAGGAAAAAAAAATTGTCGATAAAGTACTTTTCAAAAAAAGTCTTAAAATTCAAACCAACAGAATTCCGTATAATAGTCGAATTATTAAGACGAATGTTCTTGTTGATATTGGAAAGACGGTAGACCATTCAACCCTCAACTTTCCAGCGCCATTACTTATGGTTACATATCTTCAGGATCGCTTTGGCCACGTTACACGTTCTATATCACCACCTTCTATTCTTCGTAAGGATGATACATGGGGTTTTTCGGATGTCCGTTTTACTGATGAAGAGTTTGACGATTACGTTTACCGATTTTGTGAAATGCGTCTTCATATGTTGAAAAAAGGAGACATTCCGTTTCTACATAATTATGTGCGTGAAATAACAGCCTACCATCCTGGTTTAATTGCTTTTACAATGGATGAAATTTACAAAAGATTTGTCAAACGGACCTCAGAGCTGGAATTCGGTGATATTTTTGCCTTTCTCAAATCCTATGAGTTTTATTCTCATCTTAAAGTAAATATACATTATAGTAAAGTGGTCGCAAAAAAGATACGGAAAATAATATACAACAAATTCCTTCCATATTATAAGAATAACTAAAACCATTTATCGGTTGGGCTAAAAGAATGCAGCAAATAGCAAAATGTTGTTAAACCTAAATCTATCATAGATAGATTAGCCATACACCAATTATTATTGCTCATTGTTCGCAAAGTTGCAATGATAACTCAAGAATGGCTAGTTCGCTTTTATAATGTGGGCTTAAATGAATGCTAACATCCATAGTATTCGTTTAAAACCAACATTATTAAAAACGGATTAGCCATTCCTGAAAAATCAGCAATATACTAACAGAATAATTACTTACCTCCACTAACTTCTGGCTCTAATTTTGATGTTCAACACTGTTTGATGACTATATTTCGAGAATGGCTGATCCATTTTCCGTAATGTTTGATTTGAACGAACCTTACAGTTATTAGCACTCGGATAAGCACAAAATCATAGAAATCGGATCAGTAGTTCGCAAGTTATAAAAGATACATCATTTTTGCGACCACTATCATTATAAATTGTTGATAAATGATAAAGTATTGTTGATGACTTACATTCTGTATACTTTTTCAGTGTATCCGTGCAACACCGCAAGTTACTGATATGTCAGATGAGGAAAAAAAAATTGTCGATAAAGTACTTTTCAAAAAAAGTCTTAAAATTCAAACCAACAGAATTCCGTATAATAGTCGAATTATTAAGACGAATGTTCTTGTTGATATTGGAAAGACGGTAGACCATTCAACCCTCAACTTTCCAGCGCCATTACTTATGGTTACATATCTTCAGGATCGCTTTGGCCACGTTACACGTTCTATATCACCACCTAAAACATTTGAAGATTTTATAAAGTCAGTGTTTGCGATAATGAATCCAAAAATATTACAAAATAGCAAAGGCAGAAGCAAAGATGGTCGACTTTTTGAACGTGTGTGGCAAATGGAATTTTATCGTGCCTCATTACAAGTTCTTCCTGATGATATTTATCCTTCTGTTGATGTTGGAAAGGTTTTTAGATCAAAAGGATATGTAGATTTTTATATAAATGATAATCGTAATTGGGCTATTGAATTATTACGAGATGGGGAAAAGTTGGATCAACATAAAGAAAGGTTTCAGAAAGCTGGTATATATGTCCCTATTCTTAAACATACGAAACGGTGGGCAATTATTGACATTCGAAATCATAAAATGAATGCTCCGGCATTAGAAAAGCGTGAACAAAATGAGATTTATGTACTTTGTTCTGAAAACTTTGAATTAGTTCAGTTGGTGTATCCTAATGGAACTAAGGAGGATATTCGGTTGTTAGGTGAAGAAAATTTACTTGGATACGACATATCAGAATTTTTAGATGATTCAATGGAAATTGACTGATATCAAAATGTTCCACTCGATCATTCATCATGCCTACATAATACAGTAATAAAACCTTTTATTATAGGATTTTAGAATGCATCATGCAAGATTTAATATGAAACCAAAGTTATATTCAATCTTTTTTGTTCAATGTTAACCAAATTTTTAGTTACTAAAACTAGGTGCTAATATTTCCTATTTTATATAAGGATGCAGTTAAAGTAAGAATATAAAGCTTTAGAATTGGCTTAAAATTAAAATAAACCGTTTATGAATATAACTGCCAGACACGCATAAATCAGATGATTGATAAAAATTAAAAAGTGAAAATCTATAATTTTATCAGAGTATTTCCCTTAAGCTTCTATTACTATTTTTAATTTAACTAATTATAGGCTTATTGGTTAGGAAGTTATGGATCCTTTTAACATTTGGAGCTATTGATTTAAATTACATTAGTATATGCTATACATGTAACCGAAACCCCTGGACTTTCGGACCTAGTTTCGGTTTCGGATTTCATCAATTTTCGATTCAGGATGATCATTTCCAAAA